TCGATGAAACCCACCGCTGCGTCTCGACTGCATCGCCCAATATTTGTGCAGCCTCCGCAATGTCTTGCAGTCATCTCATATCGAGACTTCACTTCACTTTCTTTATTGCACATTTTAGTCGCGACCGTGATCGTTTAAACGTTTAGCGATTTAACGAAAAATATATAATGAATTTAGATATTTGTTAGGATATACATTTGCATGTCACTCACATGTAAATAACTGCGAGCTGAAAATCGTGAAAGCCCAAAAAAAAAAGAAATATCGCGTCTTGTAAACCTTAATGCTCCGTCAACAAACGGGATTTTCGTTGCAGAAAAGATTTTAAAAATAAACAAAAACGCGTATCGAATTCAGCAATTCTATCAAACTTATTCGCGGCGAGTTATAATGTCATTTCAGCATATACTTGCAGCTCGTATCGCACACAAGAAATCGATAACGAGAATCATGAAATTAAAATCCGAGAGAGCGAAATAAACACGACACCAATGAAGAACTGGTCGCGAAATCTATCAACGCGGCACGTAGACGAAGAATCGCAAGTGGCGTGAAATTCTCACGCACAATGTACGCAACATTTGTACAAAGATTGCTCTGCGACATTGCGCAAAACTTCGCAATATCTCTGCGAAGTTGGCTTCCGGAATATCTCCGGAATATTTTCGCGAATTTAGCAAACTTCCTATTTTTCTAAAAATGTGATCGTAAATTCGAATGTAAATATAAGAAAACGGAAATCAGAAATCTCATGTGCGAACAAAATATAACTATTTAAGGTTTCTCTATAATGAAACTGCGCGCAAATGCGTAAACAAATGAAAAAACTTTAGCTTTACTCGCTATATGACTATTGTACTATTTTCACATAGAAATATCGGTACTCGATAGTATTGTATCTCATGCAAAGAAGTTTATGTAAGAAATTGAAAACGAAATCTCGACTGTCACGAAATCTACGCGGCCACATTACCGCGAATAAGACAGAAATATAAGATTGAAATTAATAAAATTCATTCAATTTTCCATGAAATCGAATATAAGAAGTGCTTTTATTTACGAAATCAGATCGCAATTGAATATAGAAAAAATAAAAATGAAATTAAAAAAACTAATGACCACGTTGACCGCGAAATCTATTGACGTTGAACGCAATAATCGCGAATTACGTGACTGGTGGCGCAATTCTAATATGCGTTGTATATTGCATAAGACAATTGAGGAATCATACTGTGCTAATAGTTGCGCTATTAAAGAATAATTCTACAACGATAATTGTGAATAAAAGAAAAATAAAATATTTATACAAATATATATATATATATATATATATAAAATATATATATATAAAGTAAATAAATATAAAGTGAAAGTACCAATTTACGGACCTAATCCTGGACATTTGTATTATTTGGTCTTTAAATATGGATACTTTTAAAATATAGAAAGTATGTATATACTCAATATTTGTATATATATTTTATGCTGTAAATATTTATATTTTAAGACCAAAACAATAAGAATATCCAGGGTTAGGTACATGTCCGACATTGATACTTTTATCTTAGATATTTTAGATAATTCCTTAATTATTTTAAGTAGTATAAATATAAAGGGACATACACAACATGCAAAAATCTACAATCAAAATAAATCGCATTGATTTGTTGAGTTTCACAAATGCCTGCTATATAAAAATGGTATATATATCACCACCCAGTTTATATTTTTTTCACTCACCAAAACATATCGTCAACTTCGTCCTGCAATAGAAAAATAGCTGATTAGTTTTAATGGTCTAGTTTAATAGATAAATGCGTGTATAACTGGATCAGCTTTTTGCAATCGTAATTCAGTAAGTTTCATTTCGAAAATTATATCTTAGTTTTTGATTGCAAAGAGTTAAACAAAGAAATATAGGAGATACAAACCTTCGAGTCGATTCTGCTTAGCCCGAACCGAATCCTTCGGTACCGCATCCGCAACCACCTGAATCACAGACACCTTTGCCACGTCTGCAAGCTCTCTACATCTGCAAACAGAAAATATTTTTCTAATTAATCACAATGATAGAGATATTGTTTGAGCTCACCGACAACAAGAATTCGATACGGAAATATCAATAGTATGAGATTCGACTACAGGTTATGCTATTTTTCTTTCAAATGTAATGAAATTCAAGTGCGATAATCACTTTTTTAAATTGTAAAATGCTCGCACTGCTCACGATAATCGGCGAAGATTTGGCGTCATGAATATCTCTCTGGTGAATATCCCTCTAGCGAATATCCTTCTAACGAATATCCCTTTGGCGAATACTCCTTTTGTTTTTTCCCTATAATTATCACCAAATTTCTGATTACCCATTAACAAATTCGACGATCGTCTTATTCTATTGCTATTTGAGTGAATTGAAGATAACAATGAGTATGATAGACACTAACACGTCACGATAAGCACTAGTTGCAAACGAGAAACGATCATTCGCTATTAACGTACTTATGACATCGAGAATCTCACGCTATTTTCGACATTCCCAGTCTTATTTCCGCATTAGAATTACTTTCGGACCAAAGACGGACAAAAGACGCGTAGAACGCGCAGCGATGTTGATCGATGTATCCGCGGCGGTTGCTCGATGTAAAAAGATCGAAATCAAAGATGGACGCGCAATTGACGACGTACATCGAAAATGCGCGCCAAGATGTGAACGGTGTCGCGCTTTATATACCTCTTTCTCTCTCTTGCTAATACCAAGCCGACGCGATCATCCGAGATTCGGCCGCGTATATTTCTAGCATCATTTTATCTTTCTCTTTCTCTCTGATTATCAGCAAATTTCTAATTTCAAATCAATAAACCCGACGATTATCCGATTCTGCTGCTATACAGCGAGACGCAAGAGGATGGTAACAAGTGTAAGAGAAACATCGACTCAACACGATGCGACAAGTACTGGTTATGTATCGCGAAACTAGGAGATTACTTCCTAACAATGTACCTGACACATATCTGGATGATCGTACATCGCTATTTTCGGCACTCTCGATACTCATTTCCGTACGAGACTTACTTTCGTCGAACAAAAGAACGCGGAGCAATGTGGATCGATGTGTCTGTGGCGGTTGCTCGATGCAAAAGGATCGAAGAAGCGCGCACTGTATACACGGAAACGATCGCCGCGCGACAGGTGGCGCGCGGTAGCCAATCAGCGTGCAGCATTCTTGTGTATCAACTAGATTATTGATTATTGGTGGATGTTTTACCATTGGATAAATTAATAGTTAAATTAAACATTTTCAACAAATTACATTCGTTTCTAGCTATGTGCTTATCATCACTGTTAGTTCAGAAAATATGCTTTCGCTTTTTCTATACTAATCAACAGTCATGAGAACTGCATGCATATCTAGGAATGCGGCTGGTCGAAAACTTTTAGTGACTATCGATCTATCTATGATGAAGCATCTACAGAACTGAGTGCACCGAAAATATTTTTCCTTGTACAAACAGAAACAGAATTAGAAAAACTAAAGTGCATAGAATATGAAAAACTTGATAAAATTGATGTCGTCGACAATTACGAATAGAAAATTTGTACGAGATAGTAAATCAACGGACTACGAGATAATATTCGATTTTTCTTAAAATACTGAATTTTTTCATGAAAATTTTAAACGAATTCAAAATTTAAGGTCGGGCACATACACACAGTTCGAGAAGTTGGACGAAGCGCGAGTCGAAGTGTTTTTGTTACTTTAGACCACAAAACCTTTAGACCAAGCTGATATTATTTAATCCACAACTTCTACTTAAAGTAACTAAAGTCTTTACTTGTGTGTATTTAAATTCACATCTTTTTAAATCGCCTCCTTATATAAATAAAATGTATCTAAAGTAATTCTTAAAAATCTCTAAAAATCACTGGTCAAAATTAAAATTCAAAATAGTAGAACAATTTATTATTTGACAAGTGTCACACAGAAGAGAAATTAACTATAGAAGATAAAATATAACTGTAGCAGCTATGTTATTAAATAAAAATAGCAAATGTCATTATTGCAGATATTAAATTTATTAGTTATTTGAATCTCAACATTACGACTAAAATATTCGCTGCTAGATAGAAAGCCCCTATTATTATCATTTTCCTTTATTTTTAAATTGCACTTTATATCCGTAAAAAACGTAAAACATCGTTTTGCATTACAAATCTAAACAAGATTTTCCACTGATTTTTGATATAGATTAATGTTGGGCTTAACACAAACACAAATATCGATGTCTTTTGTACTTACATAATCACGCTGTTTGATCTTTGTACCACGGACGGATGATACCACATCCGGAAGCGCGGAAATTTTCCCTTTCCAATGATCTTTGTTTCAAGTCGCTACGACGTCTACAAATGGAGTTATTGATGATTTTATCGATTCGCGATCTAGATTATTCGGCGTTATCGCTGTAGCGAGCGGTGAATACGTGACGACGCGGCGAGTGAAAGAAATGCGGCACGCGACTACCGACTCGCGCAAGGTCACCTGACGCTGTGGGCGACGGCACGCAGTGGCACGGCTCACTACCCCCTCCATTCCCCCCTCTATTCCCCCTCTATTCCCCCCTTCTCCGCTGCTCAGATAAGCAGAGCCCCGCTCGCTACAGATATGCGGTCATTCACCTTAGCTTTAGCGCAAGCGTAGAACAAGTGCCAGAGTCGCACGTGCGCAAATTTCGAGTCCAAAATTAATACTCATACCGGCTTTAAATGTCTGTAACATAAAAATAAGTTAATTTAACGATATTATGTGGATCAAGATAATGGAATAATTATCGTAATTATTTGTAAAATAGTAGAAAATTGTTCCGTTCAATTTCATAAGCTCTATTTGCATATGAGCGTCGATATATAGACGTGTCAAATATTTTGCATACATTTCCAACGCTAATGGAAAAATATATAATAAAAGGATAAAGTGTGAAGAGATATAAAACTTGTTTTATATTTCCATTAATTATATAGGGTGTCTGAATTCCTGTGCTCGTAAAAAAAATGTGCAGGGAGAACTTATTAAATTGAATATAATAAATTGAATATAATAAAAAAATCCTGTGCTATTTTGTATAGAAATTCTGCCATGGTAATTATTAAAATATTAATGAAAGGAAAAAAATTTTGGTGGATTAATGCGCGTAATACGCGGGACAAACTGTAAAATTAATTCCTTATAGAGCCGAAATAGCTGCCACTTTTCCTTGACTATTTGACAAACAAATATGCGCTTTTAATTCGAATTAATAATTTCATATTTTACAGAAAATACATTTTAACTGCGATAGTCCTTAGCAATGACAGCAGAATAATTAGCCTTTTAGCTAAATTTAGATTAGTCACTGAGATATTGCTGATATTATTATGTTATTTCTTTGTATGTAAAAACTTGATTATCATATAAATAAAATCGGTCTAATTATAATTCTTAAAAATCGATTAATTGTTCAAAATGAGGATTAAAAGAAGCAGAAAGACTTGCTGGCAGGTTATAGCCTCTGACTTGCTAAAACAAGAGTCATTCGGCAGTAAAAATAATACCAAACTCGCGGGAGAGACTCCTTGGTGCATCGCGTCGTATATTCACATTGTATGCGCGTTTTCCTGCGAGGTTTCCTAATGACTCGGGTCCGTTTCGGCGCAGACGACGACGACACAACGACTTGACGTTCACCAACCGTGCCGACCACCGCCAGGCCAGCCAGTATTCCTCTTCGTTGATGCGTCTCGGGCCTCAGCGCGCGGTCGCATAATTGCAGACTCCTGTTTTCGGCGGGCCACACACTGCGGATCCACCACGTGTGTACTTCACGCCCTAAACTTGCCGACACCGACGAACCGCAGAATTCCTCCAGCGTTTCATTGTTGTCCCGAAATTATTTTCCCGGAACTATTTGCGCAACTACGATCTGCGCCTTCGCGAATCACTCGAATAATTCGGGAGCCGACAGTGCTGCGTCGCTCTGTAGTGAGTTCTATCGGCTCGATCGAAGGTGTCGAAACCGCAGGTCGTGCTTTGCGTTCCACTAATAAACATGTTGGGTTGTTTTACGTCGAAATAAGCGTTGACTTATCGAGCTGATAATATTGCTTCATTGAACGAGTTCCATTAAAACTGCACCTGTAATGCAATGATGATACAATAAATATAACAGCGGGACATAATTATATAAAAGTGTCTCTTTATCGCGAAACATTGATCAATGCGTCCTCGTCGTGTGACGAGGCAATATTTAATTTAGTTTCAGCGCGTTCGTTACAACTGTTTGTCGTGTAGCGCTGCTTTGCATGAAATGCATGAAATAACGCTCTTTAATGAAATAGACATACATTTCGTATTATGCGAAATGAGGATAAAGCCCTTTATAATAATTAACACGTCTGAGCAACATGTTACTTAATTAAGATTAATTAAGAATAATTAAGAATAACTGGGAGAACTTCTCGCGTGCAATGGTCGGAATTTGGCGCGACGTCGTTAAACAAAAATGCGATCATCAGCGGCCAAGGAATTATCGCTTGAAATTAGTCACCCGATTATAACCGCCCCTCGCCGAACGTTGCTCGTTGCGCTTTATTTTGCATACTCCGACGCCGGAATCTTCGTTGTTCGCTCTCGGCACGGTGAGGTCAAAATTATCCTCTTTCGCGCCACCCCGAAGCGACGTTCGCGTTTCATCGGGTTTTATTGCGTCGCGGCGCGACTCGACTTTCCACCGAGTTCGAATTAAAACTGTAGCTTTGCATTTAAATTCCACGACTGGCTTAAACCCCGAATCTAAATCTGTGTGATTGTCCACCGGTTGCGCCGCGACCTCCGATTATCGAGTCCACGATTATAATTAATCCATTGCTCCCCGCGGATTTTTACACAACGTTCGCAATTTTCTCATAAATGTTATTAAACCGAGTGAAGAGAATCTATTTGTCAACATTGTCGCATATGTGGTCTGTAATTTTATTTGAATTCAGCACAGTTTCATTATATTATCAGTGCCAAACGAGTTAGTATACGTACTGAGAGAAAGAAATACTTGAAAATTCATTCGCAAGAGGGAGAGGTATAAAGTTTATATTCTCGGAAATAAACTTTATATCCCACATCTCCAATTTTCAAGTATTCTTTCCTCAGTATACGGAATAGAATGCCAAAAGTTTCTAAGCTGGAGCATAAAGGATTAACTTTAGCGTGGCAATGTTGCTATTTCCCGCCAACGAAAATAACGAATATATCTTCTTAGCTCAGTTAACGTTCATTTAAATTTCACTTACATTTATATGTCGTTCAATTGTATAACCCAGGTTATCGACTTAATAGAAATCCCTCTTCCTATAACAGCCCCGTTGCGCTTCGGCTAACATGCGTTAAACCATAACTGTAACGACGCGACGCGTGTCGGCGCAACAATGTAAAGAGCTACGTGATGAACTTCATCGCGTAAATGCGCCGCACATTTGCATCGATCGAGCATATGAGAGATAAACGCATCGACCGGAACAGGCCACACTCACTCGTCGACGCCCACAGCCCTGCGCGATGGGAACCGGGACCCTTGTGTCTAGCAAATCTTTCATTTCCGGCTTTCAAAACGGCACTCGCGAGCAGTTAAGCGACACTGAAGTCGCGCGACCCTAACTCGAAGATTAGCGAGATCACGCCGTGATTTCTGCGAGATAAGCTTCCCGAAGAATGTTTGAGATTAACGAACAGCCTGGCGATCTCCTTTAGCATTAGTATTCCCTGTAAGAAATAAGTACAGGTTTTGTCATTATTAATCTGAGGTTATAGATAAGTTTACAGGTTAGATTTATGAGATTAAGTTGATGCATTTATGATACAGGTTAGATTTATGAGATTAAGTTGACGCATAATCAGAGAATACGATCTAATTGGCACTACAGCTGCTTCGAAATGTCATATAGAGAAAACATAATCTTTTTAAACGCTCCAAAATTTTTAGCGTTTGTAGTGTTTGTAGTTTCAAGTAGATCTTATCTAAAGATGATACACGATGCTATTGGTTTGGTTTACATCGTGCACTTGATACGTGTACTAAATATTAACTTTCTATTAAATAATTTTAATATTGACAATGCATATCAACGATAACACGTTTAATCGATACGTCTTATCGATGAGTATTATATCAGTTTAATATATTATTTATATACATCGTCGATATTAAAATTATTTAATAGAAAGTTACTATTTAGTATGCGTATCAAGTGCACGATATAAACTAGACCATTGTCACTAAGTGATGATGGATTATGAATACCAACCTAAATATCGACTGTAGCTTCTCTGTGTTCAACTGTTCGTTAAAATCAAAGACCTGTATGATTTGGGGCAACTGAAAGTGCATGATGTATCGCTATCTGCGTCCGGCGTCCAGGCACTCCGATTTAATATTCTGCTCCCGGTTATTTCGTCGTGGTACTCTCTGCTCTCTTTAGTACCGGTACTCACATGTATAGATACGATGCTACCGGGGAAATGCGAATTAAATAACGTGATATTGACGACAACCCAATACCTAAATAATCGACGAAATGTTTGAATCACACGACGAGAATCGTGACTGTACTCACACGTACTCGACGGAATGCATGACGTTCGTCGACTCGGGACGTGATGAACACACTCGAAAAAAGTACACGACGCTCTAAAGTAAGCTTGATCGCCTCGTCTAAAATGTTTTTGCAGTGTTGATTCTTGTGATCTCCATCTAATGGCAGATAGCGACACTTGATGATAGACGGGAGACCAGTCTATTTTCTGCCCACTTTGTTTACGTATTCTGATTGGTCGCGCGTCGCTCTATAAACTCAGTAGTCCGTGATATCACTAGTGAGGCGCCACAGCGGCGCGCTAGTCGCGATTCCCGCGTTGGGCAGACATTTTGTCGATATATTCGGCGGGAATCTCCTCAGTATCGCGTTAATTAACAAGCATTTTTCCGATCGGTGAATACGAATCGTATTTACGTGAGTGTCGGTGATACGAGCGAGCGTCTGGAGTGCAGCCGATGAGCATGCTGCTGGGAGCAGGTTGCTGAATCGGGACGCCGGAATGCTGAGACGTGGGCGGCAGTACATCATATATTCCCAGGTGCGTCTAGTCATTTATTATACGAGTTATGTCCGATTCCAACGGACGTCTGACGAGCATACCGAGAATCAGGAGATGCCCGAGTCGAAATTTAGGCACAAACATTCATGGCTAGTTATTATTTCACGAATAATTATAACTTCGTGTACTGTGTGCCTCTGTATGATGTGTACCCGTCTGTCTGTTGCATAGCTGTGCGCGTACAGTAGGTTGCAAAATGATTTAGGCATAATGAGCTTCAGAGCGTAGCTAATGGTCCAATAGGAGAACGAGTCATTCAAAAGTAAATTCTCTTATCGGACCATCGGCTACGTTCTAAAGTTCATTGTGCTAAACCGTTTTGCGACTCACTGTACGTGAGTGTTTGAATCTCTGACCGCTTGCTAATCTTATACACCAAGAAATAGCCGAGTAACGATCCATGAACACGAATCAGTAATTAATTATGCTTAAGAAGCATTATGCGAGCTTCGTCGTTTTAAAATATTAGTGAAAGTTCCTTTTGCTTCACGTTATCAAGTTGATGAAAAAAGATTTATTCCCTTGAAATAAAATTGAAAATAAATTTATCTAGTTTTGTAGCATCTTAATAATTTTACGAATAAAATAAACAACATTGACTCTCGGTATTCTCTCAGACATCTAACGAGATTTTCCTATTTTCCCCTTAATACCCGAATCAGTAACTTTTTACGAGTTAGAGTGTAACAGGATAACGACAAATCTTTTGCGCCGACCTAATAGATTTTCCGACAAGCGTTATTACGCTCCCTTCTCTTGTCTCACGACTTGTCTTTATGTTGTTATGCAATTGTTACTCAGTGCTTGGAAATAGTTCTTGTAACACAGTTACGCGATTTAATTTATTCTCCGAGCGCATTAACACAGGACCCGCAGCTTTGGGGTGGCATTTTGTCGTATGCTCTTGCGGTCTTTCGTAGCACTCAAGCCGTTAATATTGCAATAATGTATTAATTTCTACTTTCTCTAAGTATAGCTCCCTGATATAAAATATTTTCTCTTTGTGAATCGAATAGTATACTAGCACGTAGTCTAACATCATGATCTCTTCCTCTACTTAAAGCATTAAGAATTCATAATTTCTTTTCTCCTCTTTCCTCATTCCCCTCCCTCTCTCTCTCTCTCTCTCTCTCTCTCTCTCTCTCTCTCTTTGTATCTTTTCCCATCGTATATTTATCATTATCATCTTATCTCACTCGCACATGTCCCACTTTTATCTTTCCGCCGTTTCACCCAGTAATCCTCAATTACATCTTGCAAAGAGATAATCTCAAGATACCCATAAGAGCGCGCGGATAAATGGAATCGCGGGCCAAAGATAACGAGCACACGGATGATCTCTTAAGAATCTCAATAATTACAAATTCCATTCGGATAATGCTCTTCTGGCTTCTGTCCGCGCTTTTTCGACCTTTCCCGCGGATTCGCCGGGACTAGATAATTCATACGGGGATTACGTCTCGCTCGAAACCGGGCCGCGTAATGCCGCGCCGCGGTTTTGCCGTGCGGAGAAAGCGGTGGCAGCGTTTCATATAAAATACGACGACGCGGGGGCGGCAGCATGTTCGGGGGTGGAGAAGTAAGAGAACGGGGTTGCGAGAGGGGCGGTTGGATGCACAGGAAGCTGCACCGTAACGATACTTTACCATCGCCATGAAGCGACCCGTCCTCGCCACGCTCTCGTAAGAGAGACTTTAATATCCTGTCCTTTGATACCCTTAAAACTCGTCGCGTTCAGACTCGAGATATCTGTACGTACGATCCAATTCCCTGAATAGAGGCAGCTGAAACGAACGCTGGGGTAGCCTAGCTAGCTAGCTAGCTAGGCGAGGTTACGTGCCAGCCGCCCCCGCGACAGCCCGCCGAGTGTGGCTTCCTGTAGACGATGTTCCAGAATCGGAGTGTCTCGCCGGCGGATGTAGTCGACGTGGAAATAATAAAGAATTATGCTCCGGATATTTGGCAACAGCCACATCAGTCGTAGACCAGTAAAAAGTACGTTCAACAATGCGCTCCGTATCTATGTGTTGTCGACGGATCAACAATGACTGAACAATCGATTCAACCGTCTTAGAATTAAACAGCGCGTGAGAGAAGCGACGCGAGAAGCCGGATGATCAATCCAACGTTTAAGCACGCGAACACATCGTTATTATTAAAAAGGTAGCGTGATTGAAGATTCGGAGAAAGAGGGATTTGAGGTAGGAAATTTCGCGTGCGGTCGCGATCAGAGCGAACGTTAAAGCGTTATTCGATCCTCAAAAGGATTCGGGATTCAGGTCAGTCCTTTCGTGCCGAGTTCGACGTACCCGTTTCCGCAAACCGTCTCAGTTTCAGCATTTTCTTTGGACGGACTCCAACGCGCTGAGCGCAGGGAGATTCGTCCCTGACGCTGATGATATCGTTCGCGCTACTTCGGGGTCCATTTCGCTCTATCGGATTCAGCAAAGCAGCCGGTCGATAGCGTGTTTCGCTGATTGAAAGTATCGCTTTAAGCGCGAAGAGTCGAACGCGGCTCTCTGTAAGCGCGGGTGGTAATGTCGTTTGTACCGTTTAAAGCTTGGATTTGAAAATCGCTCGATCGAACGGGACTACCGTGAGAAAAGTAAACGCGACTTATCGTACCGAATGATTGAAAATGTCTACGCGATGGGAAAGAGACTTGGTGTTTTCTTCCGCCGTTTCTCTGAAACTTGATTTCCGCACGTTTATCGAAAGAAAGAGACTAACAAGATTTTACGTTACGCACTTTGCTACGTTCAACGATAAAATTATTTTCCCGGAACACAATTGGCAGTTATTGTTGTCTCAGTTGAATAAATATTTGCGCGGAGAATAATAGAATACGCGAAAATAAAAGATATACAGAAAAATATTATTCCACTGCCAAAAAAAACGATTTCTCAGTTTACTTTCCTTTTTTAAGTAATGGTTGTCTGCAAAAAACAGTATTTTCTTTATAACAATCTTGTAATATACTCACCAAACATTTTTCGGAAAAGTCCATTGTCATATATTCAAAAGAAAGATTTATTTTCTTGACAAGAATATTATAAAATTTTGTCGAAGAAAAAGTTGACTTTGTGTACTAAGTTCGACTTTATGTACTAACCAAATTTTTGTCTTATATTAATATTTTTAATTAAAATATTAAATTTTCCAGAATTTAGAATGTATTCTGAATAAATATGATGCTTGGCGAACTTATGATAGATTTGTGGATATATAAACTCATGAAATACTTGCAACAAGTAACATCTACTTGAATGCAGTATGTATTTTTCTGTGTGTACGTGCGCGCATATGGTATATTCTTTCTTCCGACACGACGAACACAGTATGCCGTGTGAAAATTCGAACATCGGCCATTCGATCAATTCGAGGGAAATCTCGTGTAGGGGTAATATTGTGAAAGAAAGGGAAGGGAAGAAAGTATCACTTGCGACTTCTCGGTAGTCGCGGCAGGTGCGACGAAATCCCGACCGTTCGCGGTTCATCGAAGTTCCTCGTGCGCGACCTCGCCTATCGTAGACACGATAAATTCCGATTGTCGTCCTGGCGGAAAACACCCGCAACGTCGTCGCGTCGCCGGGAGATCTGCCGTCGTATTTTTCCTCCCCCTGCCACCCTGGCCTTCCCAAGGCGAAACGTGAGAAGGTAGACAAGCGGTCAGACGTTGTTGCGCCCGTTGGAAAATCACCTTGCGAAGGCTCGGGTGACACGACCCGGCGGGAGCCGTGGTGCGAAGTTCGCCGGGGGCCGTAGTCTGGCTAACTTCGTCGCGTCGGCGGCGGCGGCGACGGCAATGGCAGCAACGACGGGGGTTCGTCGGCCGGGGCAAGCGAAGGGTGGCGGCACCCTTTGTCGGCCGACGGCAGCATTGTTTCCAGCGGCCATAAATTGTCTCGTGCCTCGCTAGGCCCGCACTTCCTTCCTTCCTTCCTTCCTTCCTTCTCTCCCCCTGAAATCCCCCGTGCTCACGCGCGCGCGCGCGCCTACGGCTGGCTCCTCGATCTTCCTTACCGCCCCTCAATCCGCACCGCCAAGGGTAGCCTTGGGTATCCGTTGCTGGTCGCGACGGAGCTCCTTCAGCCCCGGAACCACCCTCGTGGCTTCGGCCTGACCGCCGTTGTTTGCGCCAAGAAACACGTAGCTGCCTCCTATGCGGACGCTGCCATTTTGTCTCCCTTGTCTCGGGGTCTGTACATTTGAGTTACGTTAGGACGAAAGGAGTGTGACACTGTCCATTTGCTTCTTATAAGGGACGTTCCGTGAGTTAACCCTCCATGACGGATCCAAACAATTTTCCGCTGCGGACATGAAAGGCGTAGAAACAAAGAGAAATTATTACACTGATATAATATGCCGATCACAGTTTGTTTTTACTTTGCGCGTGTGTATGTGTGTGTGTGTGGGAAATAATTTGTTTTACTATAATTGGGTAGAGTTATCATTGTCTTCTTTACAATATTCCGAGATAAAAAAACTGTAGTGTGCAACGCGATATATTGTTCAACAATACTCGAGACTATAGTTCTTATTTGAAATATTTTTTATCGGTAAAATCGCTATATGACTCTATTTGACGCTATATGACTCTATTTGTTTATATGATTCTGTTTGACTTACATTTAGAGGTACTTTTATTGATGAAGGAGATTTCACAGAAGAAATTTGTGTCATCGAAAAAAGACCAGGAGTCGCCAGGAGAAACGAACAGACCGGTAGCTGCGACTTTATATCCCTCACATTCTTTCGATCCATAGGACTTCCATGACACAAGTATTAAAAGTATAGCAACTGCACCATGCGCAACACATAACTATATTGCCTCACGGATCTCGTCGTAAAACGTGCCGCGATAAAATCGCGCGATGTCTCGAAAAATGCGGCGCGGGCGAGGGTGTAACACGTAGCTATGCGTGGCTTTGTGTACGCCGAGTCTGGTCTAGCCTGTCCTTGCGACGCCATTTTCTTGAACTACCGTCATCCCTTAGGTGACGTCGTAGTCTCCCCCGGCGAACTTCTATATAGAAGTCTCCTTCTTCAAGCCGCACCTCGAGGTACCTCCGTCCTTGTCCGCCCCGTCTACCCTCTCGAGGACGACTTATCGACTTCGAAACAATATCTTCGACCCCGGGGAGAACGCCGCATTCGCGTCATTTATATCGTTTATGCGGCTGGGCGTCCTGAAATGGCGGTGTAGCTCCGGTGATATATAATATCGTCGGAGGAGCGCGAGGGGGAATAGGAAGAACAAGAACGCGAGCCGAATAATTTCGCGAATAATTCCGCAAACTGCCGAACACCGTATCGTGATTTTTAGCTCGCGCATGAAATTCGCAAATAACACCCCACTAATGGATCCTTGTATTATATATATTCGGGACTTGGAGCATCTTGAATCGTTCATGGAGCTCTACAATTTAACAGTCGATCATTCCGAGCATTTTAATCATCATAAATCCTCAATTACGGGACTCGTGCGTTCTTTATTCCATCGAATTGTACGTCTCCCGTTTTCCTTTTTCCCGGATCCCTAAATTTATCTTCGCGGCGCCGTGGATTTATAGACGGCTGGTCCCATATTTTCTCGACTGCGCTGATCTCGCGTGAAAGGGTGGTCTAACCCCACCGGTTAGGCCTTTATTCGCCGTCAATGCGGTGGGGTATTTAAGAGCAAACACAGCGTACAGTGCTGATAATGCGCGAGTGTTCGCGCCGAGGATCCTTATCTGAGATTTCCGCGTTTCCAATAGCAAGCGCCCATAAAGAAGGGTGTTTGCGCAAGCAAGCGAACGAACGCACGCGAGGGGTCGCGGGATCACGGACTTAAATCGGAAAGGGTACCGCACTGTACTTTTTCCTTTTAACGTCGCACTCGACTCGGCCCCCGGGGGACTCGCAGTCGCGAGATAACGTCTCTCTTGACGGTCATGCTTCCACACGGCGATTCCGCTATTAATACGATACCTGGCACACGAAACGCGCGTCCAGTCGCAGGAACGAAATGACTCGCTCCAAGTACTGTGTAGAATTATTTAATCGGCATCGAGATCGCTCACTGAGTATCACGATGTGTCAAAGTTACGAATTGGTCTTTCGAAATTATTAGTAAAGTAAAGGCTTATCCAAAGATAGGACATTGTTATAACAGGATTATATTTTTTAGGGCGCTTTTACCTTGTCCAATCAGGAGAGAGAGAGAGAGAGAGAGAGAGAGAGAGAGAGAGAGAGAGAGAAAGAGAGAGAGAATTCCAGAATTATTTTTTAATCCATTCTAAGTAGTAACGAATACATCTTGATACATGCATGAGTATACTTCAATACACTTTCTTTACATCAATCAATACATACATTTTTTTGTCGAGTAACACGCCACGCTATCGGAAGTAACTTCTGTCGTTAGTTTTTCAAAAGTTACAAATATAAAGAAGGCAACGCGAAGACGGAGTGCATTTGTAATTTTAAATCCGGGAGCGGTAATTCGCTTCCTCTCGCGACAAGGCGGGAGTAAAGAGACGGATGGAATACTTGGCCAAGCAGCCGTTGGAAATGCACGATGATCTATTTCCGAGCGCATCGGCTCTCCGACAGATTGCAATTGCATCTTGCCGGTCGGCACACGACGACGCGCTACAGACTTTAGGTTGGCTCTCGTCCAGGCGCATGGATTATTAGATTCGCCCCTTCTCCCCTTCCCTCCCCCTCTTCTCCCGCCTCCCTCAATCGCCGGGTACACGTCAATCGATGCTTTTCAATATTGCGACTCGCCGTTTTATCTCTCTCCTTTTATGCCTCGCTCGAGTAACCCGTTATTTTTCCCGGCGGTGTGCCCTTCCGCTCGACATCGTTAATCTTGCGCCGATTCGGCGAATAATCTGGCAGTGTCGTAGTCGTGAATAATCTCGCAATATTTCCGAAGCGCTTTCGTCGACTCGTTGCCACTGCCAGGGTTTTTAAATTATCGCTCCTTCGCCCTCGGGTATAACTGTATTCGCGTCTCACCATGTCCGAGTAAATGTCGTCGTTAACTATTAATTCTAAACAACCATATACACACACACATAACTGTCAATTATATATGCAAAAGCAACTACATGTAAATTGCTTGTTTTGAAAGTGATATAAGTCTAGGCTTTGATCCATTTCTCTCGCATTTCTCTTTGTCCTCACACATTGCTTTGTAAGCATAAAAGTCAAATCATCGATTCTTTTCCTAAGTTGAACTCGAAAGCACCACTTTCGAAACAGTTCTAACACGTTCTTAGAACGCTTCGAAAGCGGCTTATATTTAGAAGATTGAAATATATTAAGTCGTACATCTTTATACAAGTTCAATTTTATTTGTTTTTTATACATTATATATTAACGTAATTGTCTTATACTGTTTCGTGATTTACTGCGTGCTGTTTTATTTTCCACTATTAACAGAGACCACGCGTACAATACACGACTAACAAAATTGACCATTAATCTGCGCAGCAAAATCGATTAGCGTTCCAAACAATTAAACTGTAATCTTGTATCGTTTCAACGACGGCGCTCGATATCACGCTAACGTTACGAAATGCGGCGCGAAGATCGCGCCTGTTTTCGCCACGTTGAGAAACTCGCTCTCGGAGCGTGGGCGTAAATATTCGTCGGCCCTCGCGCAAAAACAGAGATAATGGATTTTCAATTCTAGTACTTCCACTCGAGTGCGGGACGCCCGTACCAACACGCCGAATCGTTGTGCACCCGGTGATGCATCCCTACCCGCGAGGGGTCGCATCCCCCGCTCGAGAACTTTCCTCTCTTTCTCTGCAAGTCCTGCGTTCATTTCCTTCCACTCTTATCCGGAACCACTCCGAAAAGGAGGCTCTAAATTTTCGCGCGCTCGGTACCTGCGAACGTACAAAAGGACAAAAAGGTAGAAACGGAAAGAGAGAGAGAAAATACGTTTATTAATGTCCTGGGACAGAAATCCTTTAAGAGCGAGCGAAGAGATAACACGAGGGAAAATAATAATTTTCTGTTACAAATTCTGCCGAAATAAAAATCAAACAATACTCGAACGTGAATGAAACAAGAACTCATGGAACAAAATGTGAGTTAAAACAAAGCGTCATAAATATCGAAAAAGATTTGGCTGTCGTAGGAAAATTTAAATAAGGTTGTGTTTGGAAATGGAAAAAGAGAATATACATTATTATATTTAAAAATGGCGAGAAACAGAGACGCGTAGGAGAGACTGGGGCTAATTGGCTACCAGGATAAATTGGCAAAACCAATTTGTTTCTAATATTTTTTAATAAGAATTATAAAATTAGACAAACAAGATTTTTAAACATGTCAAAGATGGCTTTGAAATCCCTGTTGCTTTTGATGGAATCTGTTAAAAAACAGCAAAAAAATTGATTTTGCCAACTCATCCCGGTGACCAAATAGTCCCGGTCACCTCTACGTGTAACGCGTACATGTATGTAACCCGGAGCGAATGAATTTATATTAGAATATCTTGGCTCGAGAAGAACGAGACGCATTATATAGTTAAACAGCAAACTACATTATATCGTTTCGGGAACTTGCATAATTTATAGTCCTACATTCACGCGTGAAACGTTCGGCTGTACGCAAACAGGGAGTTTGCATCATGCAAACGTTTCCTCGGGTAAACAGCCGCTTTACACCATGCGGAAATTGCTAACACCATTATTCATAGCAAATTGATGTAAAATGCAACTGCAGCGGAACGTCATTTCTCATTTAACTTTGAAAGCTCGCTGAAACTTCGCGAAACTAGGTATTATTTTACCTCGGGCAATTACGAGCATTAATAGAAACGAGCTAATTTTACTTTCGAAATTTTCAGCGTGCAGAACTGTCGCTTCAACGGCGTATGGAGTCGCAAAACACATTCGCGATCGTCCCCGTCGACGATCGCGAATGACACACATGTCGATTCGCCTTTCTGTTGAGGTTTTCGCGGGACAGAAAATATCGATTTCGAGTTTTTCCCCAAAAGCCACGTTTACGATATGCATCTCGTAAATGTCCCCGCGATCAATCCATTTCTGTCCGTGCGTTTTGTGCCGCGTCGTAAACATGTGTCGATGTATTCTCCGAATAGTGACGACAACTTCAGCCATCGCAAATGTTTCCTTCTTCCCACCCCGCTTCGTTTCGAGAACTTCGCGAAAGTTATACTGAAGTTCTGGCCTTAGAAATCAAGCAATGCGCCGCTATTTCATCCCGCATCAACGCGATGCAATGTCATACATATACATACGTCTCCCTTCCGCAAACGATCGCGGATATACAAGGGCATGTGCATAAATGAAAAGAGAAAGGGAGAGGGAGGAAAGAGGAAAATGTAGTAACTACGAGCCTAGATTATATAGCGGATTAGACGAGCCACAATTTGTCGTAATCATCCTCGCGTATACGGAAATAATGTAGAACGGACCCGCAATTTTCTCCTAATGAGAGAGAAGCGACCACCGGATCCCAGAAAGCTCGAAATTGCGATAATCGCGAAAATCGAAGAGTTCTAAAATAACGTCCAAAGTTAAACTTCCGCCTCCACGTGACGTGGTGAATGTAGGTCAACGTTAGCCACTATAATATAGTCCATATTTTACGTGCAAATCTCTTAATTTCTCTGTTTTTATACTCGTCCAGTATATTGATTTATTATTGATTTATTATTTGCCATAGAGCACAGAGCCGAATTTGAACGGTGTATCTCCATAAAAATACGCAAATAGTATAAAAATGTGATGTCATTAACCACAATGGTTAATTACCCCGTTGAGTTTTGATCGAATCTTTCTTCTCTCTATGAACCTACGATCTACATCTACATAGAGCGCTAAATAGATCATTTGATTCGAGACACATTTGATCGAAATAAAAAGAAACTCCATGCGGATGCAAATTTTGTCGTTAATCTCCAGTGTTTGTCCTTTGCACATCGGGTACAATCGTCCCAATTCTCTTCTTTTCAACTTCTACCACAAATCATACGGGAACGCGCTTTCGTAGTTGGACCGTTTTCGCGCAGCGTTTACGTTCCCCATTGTGGTCGCTGGTTCTCGCCAAGGATGTGGTAAGAACAATTGAAATCCAGAATATTACTTCGTGACACATATTAGGAGATTCCTATGCGACGATGTCCTCTGCGTCGAAGTAGTCTCTCGCGGCAAGGTCCTCTACAAGAGGATACTATCTGCGACCCACTAATTGAAAACACCTGTCGTAGAGATAGCTAGAGAAGGATAGAGAGAGAGAGAGAGAGAGAGAGAGAGAGAGAGAGAGAAAGAGAGAAGAGGTGGCTCCTCCTCCAGTAATTGTCCTCCAGGCGGCAAAGAAAGCCTCCTTTCGACTCTTTTCTACTCATTCCTTCCTTTTTTCCGCTCCTTCGTCGGCAAAGAGACCGACTGCTGTCGGGAGGCGAGGAACGAGTGTAAACTCTTCCTCTCCTGAATCTTTTCACAGACCCTTCGGCCGAATTGTCTTGGTTCGTGCTCGCGAAACAATTGGCGGATACCGACGAAACCGCCGCGTTTACACGGCAGTAGAATCTACGGGTCCATGGCGGACTCAAAGAGTCCAATGGCCGCGTTCTCTGTGCAGCGTAATTTCACGATTATTTCACTGGTAGGTGAAGAAGTACAGAATTGAAAAGAAATTCTTTCGAGCCTTTTTTTCAGATGCGATTTTCTTCCTCATGACGGCATCTCGATCTTCTTCATGATTTTTTAAACGTAAGTTCTGTTATTTCTGCATTAGAATTTTCTTATAAAATCTACGTGAAAGACAAACTTTATATTGAGAAAAATTGAGGAAACGCGTCAATTTTTTTTCCCATTAATTTTCATATTATACGATTAATTTGCGTAAGACAAGATTTGAGTAATTATTTTTATCGTCCTGTCTCTTTCAACTATTTTCTCCTGAATTTTGTTCTCTCTAAATATTTTCAAATTAACGACCAATGTCGCAGGTGTGTCTCTATAAGAAGGAGTACGGTCTAAAAAGTTGCAAAAATTAGTTAATCAAGTCTTACGACGTTATCGATCCTCACGGGATCTCGAATCCTCCAGCTGGAGCTTTTCATTCTCGATTTCACCGGCCGCTGCGTAAGATTGAAAAGGCAAGAACGGGAAGAAGAAGTGGAAGAAGTCGTCACTCGCCTAGATGTGCTATCCATCTCGAAGGGAATCCAGCCGACTTTTCATTGATCCTTTGACGCCGACATGGTGGGGTACGAGTTTACTTCGCACACGGGTGACGTTATTTGAAAAATCCACCGCGAAACTTTTTCCCTCTCGAGAACGAAGGGAACGAGGGGGAGGAGGAGGTGGAAGAAGAGGAAGAGGAGGCAAGGGAAGAGAAGGTACTTAAAGTGCCGTTAGGCGCCGCGAAAACGGCACCGAAGTGAGCTTCCGCAAAATCCTCGGCGAAAGGGAGAGCGTGCATACACGCGTGTTCGTTCGATCATGAATAAAAGTGGCATTGCGACAGTCGAACTGCGAACGGAACAGAAGAGATTTCAAGGATTTTTCATAATTTTCGTCTACTCGTCAGTTATTCCAAGTCATTTTATTTAAATTATAGGGTTAACGCAAAAAGTGTGTCATATTTGTCCGCGAGTGGAATCGAAAATCAATTACCCAGTTTCAAAGCACCGACAATTTTTACGAGTAAAATAAAGAACGTTCACTCGATGTCTTTTCAAGCATTTAATGGTCTTCGTATCGTTTTTACACGTGAATCTATAACTTCGTACGAATAAGCTTTAAAATAATAATGGCAAATCTTTAGTACTAGTTCGACATTTTACATCGAGTCCACATGTGCTTCTCACACGTTCCATCTAGTCTATACGTCAAAGCATATTTTGAAATTGCTTCGAGAGTTAAATCACTTGCAGTTCTGACGATTTGGCTTATTGTTTTCCGCGTTGACTTTGTACTCGATCGTATCTCGATCGTTGAATAAACGAAGAAGCTTGACTCAGTTTACGCGACGACTGGTTGTTTTAACTATCTTAACTCCAACGTAGAGCGATGTGATAATGGCAAAATTCGACTATGAACGTTGAGTGTAGAATTAATATAGTTATTTCAGCGATGTTTAATCGCGCGATGTGGAAATCTAACTTCAATTTCCGACCGGCGGAACGTCTTTACATCTGAAACTAAAGTTGAAGGATGAAGTTTCCGCGGTAGCTGGAACTGTTACTGCAGCTTCCGCTACTCCCAAATTATACAAAAAGATCATAAAGTCTATGCGCTTTCGCGGCACGGCGATCTATCATTTATTAGATACTAAATCACCGCGCTGAGACTCAAGCGAGCTTTGAAGTCCCCAAATGTGTTCGAGGCACGAGCGCGCCTGTGAAAAGAAATTCGCGCACCACCAGCTTGGCCGTTCGCGAGTTTAGAGCATTACCGGCTGCGGAAAGGAGGGGAGAGGGGGCACGAATTTATATCCCTATCTATAAATACGCCCGACTGCGCGCTCAGATGCAAACTATTTCGCGGCGACGTGCCCGGCACCTCCTCTTTCGCGCTGATGAACGCGCGAGGACGTGCGCGTCGCTACAAACTATTACGAGATGGCGAGCAAATCCTCGTGGAAACTAGCGAGCGGAAATGGGACTACGGAGAGGTGGGTTAATACGGTCCTTTAAATGAAAACATCTCGTTCCTCTCCGCGCGCTACGTGTCCCCGAGAATGGAATTTCTAGAGGGTTGCGCACGGAAAAGAAGAACGGAGGAAAATTCCGAGTTGTCCCGGGATTTGGATTCCCTTAGAGTCCTCGGCACAAAGGACACTTGTACTTGCGTCCGTGATAATTCACAGTTGGCATCGCGATTAATTTAATTCGCGCGTCATG